AGGCTCATGCCCGCTTAGAGGTAAGTTTTATAATGTTTCACTTCTTCTGGTATTAACGTTTATTTACATTATGTTTGTTTTTAATCCAGGCGTCTGAAAAACTAGTTGCATTGCACGAAGCCTGTGCTGCGATTTATCGCAAGCATGCTGAAGAGGGGAGCGCAGGAGGTGATGGAGCGATTCTGGTCGCTCCATGGGATCCCCACTTCCATTATCGCTTCACCCTCCGGGCTGCGTTTATCTGGGCCAAGGCCAAAGTGAGTCTCTTCTTATTTTCACTTCATCTCCCTTGATGTTATGATTAATCACGTCTATGTTTGATTTTAGGCTGCTGGAATGGCGACTTTGCATATTCCTCCGAACACTGCCGAATACAAGAACGAAATGATCAAGTCTCGAGTTTTTCACAAGGAGATGGATGTCAACAACCGTGTCCTTCAGCGTAGTCTCAACAGTTCTGCTTGACGATCTGCCGCACGTTCGAGGCGCTCAAGCCGTGGCCTTCAAAGTCTTGATGCTAAAGTCAAACCCCAAGCGTCCACCTCGAAAGCTCAAGGAATCATCAATTTATGTTCTTCATCTCCTGACGTCAAGCCTAAGCCATCCTTCGGTCCGCTACCCACTGTCAAGCAAGAGAGTCCACCAGTTCAAATGACCACGACCCCGACACGAACTGGAGGAGTCGCCACCAACTTGGCTTCGTCTTCCCCACTGCCTAGCTTCAACTTGAGTGACTATGAGAACTGGCCCCCCTTGACTCCACCCCTTGAGAGTCCGAAGAAAGTCAGCAGACCCCAATATGGTATGTACATCTTTCACTTTTTTTCACCTTCACTTTTTTTCACCTTTGTTTCGATTTTCTTGATCTTTTTGGACTGACGATGTTTAATCCATTAGCCACAGGTCGATCCCGAGGTGACTCGATATGGTTTGATGCCCCCATTGACGATGATGGGGACACCTCAGACACCTCAGACGGCCTCGACGTCATGGCCTCGCATGAGGCGGCCCTCGAAAACTTTGTTTACCTGGTAGGTGTACCGCCTGAAGACGTCAATACACGGATGATTCTGGCCAATGCAGGTATCGAATCGTGGATGGACCTCATCCCCTCAGTCAATATGACTGAGGCGTACTTGATTGAGCGAGGTATGGATGGCAACGTAGCTGCTCGCCTCCTTGCAGCAGCCCAAGCTCGTGACCAGCGAGTAAATGGTATGTGTCATTTCATATCAATTTTTTTGGCATTGTATTCTTACTAACCTTTGACTACGTTCCACAGCTCCATTCCTCGGTTCCACTCCTCAATAAGATGCATGGCTTCATATTGTTCCTACTCGGATGTGATGGCACTGTTACCTGTTATTAACGTTTCACCTTATACGTTTCATCTACTTGATTGCGTTCTCTTGAGTGCCTTTTCTGTGTCTGACTGGTTTAACCTTCGCCTGATCTTTAACAGCTCAACGCAACTTATTTCACGTCTTGAGTATTATATCGTGTCTGACTGGTTTAACTTTGTCACCGTTTCTTTTTCTTTTGAACTTCTTACCTTTGTTTTTACGTCTAATCGCCTGGTCCGTCTTGATCTTGAGTTTGTTATCCCCTGTTCTGACTGGTTTAACTTTTCACCGTTTCTTTTTCTTTCACTTCTTACCTTTGCTTTTACGTCTAATCGCCTGGTCCGTCTTGATCTTGAGTTTGTTATCCCCTGTTCTGACTGGTTTGACTTTTGACCTTATCGTTTTATTTAACTTCTCACAGTATCCTTTTCTAGTATCCTTTTCTTCTTTTCTAGTATCCTTTTCTTCTGTTTGATAGCCTCTTTTTCTGGGCGTGACTTGTCTTCAAATCATGGTGATTTTTCTAGTCTATCATTTATGTTCCCTTTTCATGATTATGGTGTTTATTATCTGATAGTATATGAAGAGGAATATACACGTGGCCCTCCTTACCTTTTCGGTTCTATTTCCATTTCTTTCTATTTCTTCACTCGTTTAGATTACCTTTTTCCTCTTGATCCTTTTTTGTTCTGACTGGCTTTGTCTCCTTTATGGTGTATATATCTTATTCTTTTGTTTATATTGGAAATAAAAAAAAATTGTGAATAATATTTCCCTTTGAGAGCAAGAGGCCCGCATTGAGAGCACATCACATCTTTGAGGATGTTTTCCATTTCGTTTTCATATCAACATTGGATCAATATCATTCACGATATTAATCGTGATAGTGACCCTTTTGAAATCATCGAAGGCTGTTAAACAAAAAGAATATGTTAAACAAAACGAATACATTGAAATAAATCAAAGTGTTCTAAACAAAAGAAATACTCATGAATTTCAAATTAAAAAGAGCCCGAACCATTCAGGTTAGGTTCTGATGAGGTCAAAGTCAACTCAAGGGGGACGTCCCACAGGTATTCTCGAGAGTATTATGAGTAACCATGAATTCTTCATTGCTATTGCAAAATATAACACTCTGATTTCATAGTCTGAAGATTGATTGAAATGGAAAACGGACATTGATGGTGAACTTCATTTGAGAGAGACATTGAAGGATAGGAATAGAAGAACACTCCCGAGACATTTGAGAGAAGAGACATTGAACGAGATAACACAATCTAACCCCTTCATTCGAGCGGAATAGAACACTAGCGAGAACATAAATTGAGAGAAGAATTGAAAGGATTGAAAACATTTGAGACCTTCATATGAGAGAGCTCGACATGATTAGATCACATATTTATATTTTGATACTAAAATTGAAAGTAGGCAGCCAAACCACCCTGAATGGTGTAAAATCAGAGATACCCACAGCCTCTAAATAGGCTTTCGCAAAGAGATGGGGTGAGAACTTCCATCGCTGTTATAAAAATTGCAGCCAGTTCTTCTTCCAAGTTCATGGCGCCTTGGAGCGCTTGAGATCTTCTTAAACGAGCTTTCAGAACGGAAAAACCTTTTTCTATCGGGTTAAAATCAGGACTATAAGTAGGGAGATACAAGAGTCGTACCCCTCGAGCCTGACATAGCTCCGCAACCCTTCCACCGTGATGGATAGGGGCATTATCCATCACTAAAACGGAATTGCGGGCAGGCCAAGCGTTCATAGCAGGCAACTACATACGCATATGGCAAAGCAAGCATGTCAGAGTGGTAAATATAAATAAAATTATAAAAAAGAACAAACTACTCACTACATCATGCTCCAAATATGATTCAAAATCAATGCGTGAATATCCTCCCATCTGAATTTTGCAAGCAAGAATCCCATCCATCGAAATAGAAGGCAAGACCGACCATCAAACCGCGGCTGTTGGCCTCTCAAGGCGGACAGACCGTTCACCAAGTGGAGCTCGGGCGTAATCTCTATATAATCGGCGCTTGGTGATGGCAGATTCATCTGGGAAATTCGGCACATGAGCAGCAAGTTAGCAAACAGGATGGCACATGAAATGAAGAAGAAAAAACGCTCACCTGTGAAAACCAAACACCTTGGATCAATGCCATGGACTGACGCGATATAAGCACCCCGCGCAACCAGAGATTGGTTGGGGTGGACAGTACGAGCTTTCTTCCTTGTCCACTTAATTCGATTTCGTAGTTCATTAGAAAGTGTCATCGTAGAGACATGAAGGTCAAATCGCTCTTGGATTTTACTTTGCAATTCATCTAGGTAGAGGGTTGGATCGAGTCGGAGAGAGTCCAGAATGAATTCTTGCTCAGCAGCTCCTAGAGTGGTCGGAGGGCCTCGGTCTAAGTAATCCGCAGGGTTCGTAACGACAGCTCGAGTCCGCTGGTAGAGGTCAAACCACCGCCGAACCGAGCTCAGAGATATTCCAACACCTAAAGTCTTGATGATGTCGCTATAAGGCATTCCACGAAGAGCCATCCGGACCACTACGAGTTTGATATCGGCACTGTATAGGTTAGTTGGCATCTGGAAGAAATAAACCCCAATATCAAAATCTTTCTTTGACCCAGTCTATCAGCAACCAGATGACAATCTAATATCATCTGATTGCTGATAGTAATGGTATGAATGGTATGGATTATGTATGGAATCAACGTACCTTGAAGAAATTGATTCGATAGAATAGAATCAATAGAAATGATTCGATGGAATTGATGATTGATATGAAAGGTTTGATTTGAACCAAAAGATTGGCTTCGAAAGATCAAATGAGGAAGCAAGTCTAAGATTGAAAGCCGATAGAGATATGAGAATGAGGGTCGAATGAGGGGGAAATAGAGAAGGAAAGAGATCAGGGGAAATGGAAACCGAATTGGCCAGTTTGCAATCGAAAGATGATGATGAGAGCCGGATGATGGGGGAATAGAGAATGAAAGAGAGAGAGGATGGGAAATGGAAACTCCCTGAATGGAAACCGTACCAGTTGATTGTGATCGAAAGAAACGGAGACCCTCCTGCCAAGAACTGTCATGGTGAAATGACAGTTTGACATATATGGAAGCTCAAGCCATACGACACAGAGAGGAGGGCTTCCAGGTATCTCACGGTCATACAGCGGTTTTATCTACTTTGGAGTTTAATCCTGGTGCAACACAAAGTGGGAAATTTCCAATAATTTTTTTAGTAGCTGTAACAATCTCAAACTTCGAAGTTCGCAATCAAACTTAACGTATCTTTTTTTGACCACCATTCCCCCAAGGTAAACAACAAACGAAGGCAAGCAAGCAAGCAAGCAATCGATTCACGGCCCTTCTGTAACTTCAATTCACTTCACTTTGGATCAACCAGGATCAGCCCTCTTGATTTCTATTCAATTCGTGAACCTTCGAGATTAAAAATAACCATTCGATTCAGTACGCACGAATCCTGCTTTTCAACGGGCTGTTCTTTCATTTTCTCTTTTTTTCCACTCTTTCCTATCAAAAGGATAGACTTTAGCATAGTAATCATTTAAGTTATCTTCCAATACCTCTTCCTAAACCTATCCATTCTCCTTTCTTGGCTTCTTCTCTCCATTCGCTTCTATCATCATGCCAGTGCCCATCTCTGAGTTACCGATCCTCGAGGCTCTGGTCAAGTGAGTTTGGTTTCTTCTTCTGCCTCATCTTAGCTTGACTTTGAACTGATGGATATAAACTTCTTGACCATTTTTCTATCCTCTTTTCCTGTTCCCTGATCTCAACCTCTGGCTTTCCTTTTGTCACCTGACCTATCTCTTTTACCGCATTCGATCACTCTCTATCACGTCGATCATTACCTGCAGTATCCGGGCCAGGCTCACCAAACTGAAAAAGGACCGATCCGAGTATATCCGTTCCGCTGATGTAATGCAAATTTATGCAGCTGTCATCAAGCAAGGTTTGTTGAAGTGATCACATCACGTTTCACTCACTATCATCACTTTGGTTCCCATTGAATCTGCCCCATAGCTCCCACGTGACATGAATTCTTTGTTCAGAGACCGGCTTCGAAATTAACATTGGATTTCCTGATTTGCAGTCAACAAGCTCAATGAAGTTCGCGACGAAACCAACTCAACCTCATCGCCCCCCGAAGAAAATACTTCAAGCCCACCAATAAATTCATCTCATGAATCACATACTAGCAACAGGGTTGATACTACTCTCAATGACGTGTTCCAACTCCTCAGTTTATTCTTCTTAACGATCGGCAAGAGTCGAGAAAGTCCCGCGACATACTGCCAGCTATCGACGATGAAGGTACCAAAACCTTTGATTTTCCATGTCCATCGCCTCAGCTGATATCAAATTTTTTGCCTCTCCAAAAGCAACTCCTAGATCACATGAATCAATCTGGTGTCTATACGGAAACCGATTTGATGCCTTTCCAGACCCGATTAGATGAGCTCAAAGCGATTATCATCAGAGATGAAGATAAAGAAATTGCAGCCAAGAAAGAAGCCGAAGTCGATGGTGTACCTGATGACGAGTTACACCCAGAGGGGCTTACCAAACTTTTGCTACGCAAGTGGGATGATTGTAGTAAGGAGACCATTTCAACGCCTCCTTGCATTTGCACCCTTCCAACTAACCCCGCAGGCCGTTTGTACGCCCACAAGACGGGCAGAGTTAGCAAGCTGACTAATCTCTCTATGTCAATATGATTTCTCAGCCAGAATGCTCAAGTCTCTTTTGGCTTCTTTATCGGTGCTCTCGTTCGAACTGGTCCCAATCCATCAACGTTTGATCACGATTCGTAGGCAACTAGCTGCACTAGCGGCTCGCAAACCCACGGCAGCTGAATTGGACGCTCTTCAAGAAGAATTGCGTAAAATCGACTCGAAACGAATTGACGGAAAGTTTTTGGGGCCCGGTGGATCATCGGTACCTGAAGGTCAAGCCATCTTAACAGGTCTTTTGGAAGAAAACTTTGAAATATGTCAAGAGATTGGTGCTAGGAAGGAAGATGTCTCGCCCACTCTTAAGCCTATTTATGATCGACTATGTGACTTGAGAGCAGCCTTAGAACGTCTGACTTTGACTCATCGTTGGACTTTACGCGAAACTGTGAGTAACTAGAGACATGGGAGATGATCACATACCACCTACTTATCGACTAATTGGGATGGCAGGATTTGTACAATTTTTCAAGTCTCTCTTCAAGAGCTAGAGGCTAAGAGGGTAGACGGGCAAATTTGTGGATGCTGAAGGAAATAAACAAGATGGACAACTGGTCAGCCCGATCATCTACAGCACCTTCTTTATAATTCTTGTTGACCATCATATCCCTATTTCCAGGTTCTGCACTATCTGCTCCGACGTTGCTATGGTCTCATCTATCGCCTGATGTCATCCTCCGAACCCATCTCGGAAGAACTCATGCCGATCGCTAACAAACTCTCGACGCTCAAGAAGTGTCTAACGGAAGTGCTCAAGTACGGCGGTGGTCTTTCCCCTCGAGACTTGTATCCCTATCAGCTTGCACTCTCTCAGATTGATGCGATCAGAGATGATGGGAAATTCAAAGGTCGTGATGGCGGTATACCGGAAGGTCAAGCATTATTGAATGCCAATCTTTGTGAATGGTATGTGATGTCTGGACTTTTTCAAATTGCCTCTTCCTACCTATTTATTGAGGCAGAGACTAATGACACACATAATTTTGTTTTGGATAGTCACGAGCTTGTGAACACCCTTCGCGAGTCAATCGAAACCGGTTAACTCTTCTCGCGGGTGGACCGAGCGAGTTCTGTAAGCTTATGAAGAGGAAGATCTTGAGCATTTCATATAAATTACAACTATTTTTTACTCATGAGTAAACGAGACAAAGAAATCAAAGTAGTATTACCAATCTTACATATAGCTCATCTTAACAAAAGAAAGAAAAAAGACCTAAAAGTCGCATGTTGTTGATATATTATCTGAAGTGACCGTTGTGAAGGTTGATTTTCATTGAAATGGGGTCATATGGAAGTTGAACCTAAAAGGTTGAAATAGACGGGTTTTTTTCAATCTGTATTATTAATCTTATATATATTTTTTGTGATTTTTTGGTATTCGTTGGACACTCGTGTTGTCTTTTTTTTTATCAAAAAGAAAAGAAAAGCATTTTAGCGTGTGTGTTTTTGTTGTATTTGAACTTTTGTTGCTTATCATCTATCGTCGTCATTCTTGATGAGATGACAGAGGTGAGGAAGATCTTTGTGTGAGAGGTTTGCAATTGTTAAGTACTATGTGCGTGTTTTTTTGGTTATACATGTTGGGTTCGAGGAGTTTGTTTGACTGAGATGAAAAGATAGTTCTTATTTCTTTAAAGTTGAATCGCGGTGAGTGGAGAGAAAACTCAAATCTATACAACTCATCCTGAACTTCACCAGTTCACCTGAAGCATTTCTGAACAGACCATGAATGATGATGAAGTGATCATTGAAACATTTCTTTTCTCCTCTATGACTATTGAGGTCCTATCCAATCTTGATCACGGCACCACATGTTCTTGATACCTTATAAAATGGATTCAAGATTCTCAATCACATCTTGGAATTGAACCCACTGGCAGTGGCACCGCCTTCTGGAACAAAGGTGCACACTCCAAGTCGATGGATATACGGTGTTTCTGTAGGGTTTGATATAGGTGGCTCAGTGTACTGCCCAGCGAATGAGTGCCTTTCATCTATCACTAAAAGTTTACTACTCGAATACAGATTTCTAACATGCAAGGACATATGGAAATCTTGTGATTTATTTGAACGAGACAGATACATAAAAAGTTAATAACCAAAAATTATAGAAAAGAATGTTCAATCTTTTCAAAACAATTCAAACAAGTTTTAATAAGTAGACAGAGTCTAAAAGAGTAACGGTACTCAAAGTAAGAAGGTGGTTTCTGCCTAGTTTGGAAACCTAGGGAAACCTACTTCCAAAAACTAGGCACCACCCGGAAAAAGTAGGCGAGCACTCTTCATACCGCCGTGCCGGTTGCCTCATTTCACACTCATCTTGTCGGCTCAACCACTACCACCATCCTATTCTGCAAAGTTCAAACCCTCAGTCTCCCTCTCCAAGTTCACCAACAACTCAATTCCAGAGGAAACCCTTTATCATTCACAAACTCATATTGCTGTTCAACTACAAATTTCAATCGATTCACCTACTCATTCCAAACTTTCAATAAAACAAATTCTAGACTTACCACATTTGACTACAATCTTTTATTTTGGTGTACCGATTGATCATCAAGTTGAAGATGAATTTGATTTAAATCAGTCAGAACTCGGTTCTAATTCTTTTGATTTTGATAAGAAGTATCGCTGGTCTAGTCAATTTATTTTCAATCAACTCCTTCAAACCCTGAATTGTTAACGGATACAATGTCAATTCTAAAGTCTTGAGAGTTGTGAAAAACAATTGATTTTGGAAACAATAGGTTGTTCAAAAGGTTTTTTGGTATGATCATCCTTAACCCCATGCAAGTTGTGATGATTGATTGTTTTTAAAAACGATTGCTCAGTCTAGGTTTTTGTTGTGATGTGTGTCTTTTTCTTTTTTGGGTGTCTCTGCAATGAAAATTTGATGTACAAATGAACAGAAGCCTGGGTCGAGAGTGCTCAGTGCGACTCTATGTTGTAGAAAGTGAGAGTTGAAACAATCGATAGTTTCAAAAACCAATCGACCGTTTTCAAATCAAAGGTTGTCATGATCTTGAGGTGAAGGCAGGCGTGTAAGCTGACGTAAGATGGATGAGGATGGAGGTTCCGAGGTGGGATACATGACAGATAGGACCTTTCCGGATGCTTGAACCATATCTACGGACAGTTCTTGCTGGAGGCCGATGCAAGGTGTGTGGCAGAGGCCAAAGGTATCTTTAAAGTAGAAAAAGGGTCCTCAAAGCTACCCGATCACGGAAAACATACTTAGAAAAAAAATCACCGCCAAAAAAATAAAGTAGGTTCTAGGTTCTGAAGTAGGCAGAAACCACCTTTTTACTTTGAGTACCGTTAGTGAATTGATCTGCAAGAAAGATAAATAGTATACGATCTTGCCGGATAGTTTAGCATCACAAAATGGAGAAGTTTTTTTTTGGCTTAAAAGAGGTATAGCCGAATGGGTTATAAATCTTTAGCATGATTTTGTGTGACGATGAAGCCGGCGTTCACGCTCGCACCCGAAGCCACGAAGCCTCGTGGCGCCACGGTAGGGCTCAGGGCCATGGCCGTGGCATAGGCCATGGCCCTTGCCATGGCCCTGGGCCCTCCGTGGCCTTAGCAGGGCATCAAGTCCAGCTAAGCCCCATAAGGAGAGGCTTAAGGGTGGGGCAGTGACCAAAATCGAGCTCGGCAATCATCAAACGTTCTCATTTCATGATACCATTAACAATATAGAGTTGCTTTCTTTCGATTCCCTGCTCAATAAGTTGATTACAAAGACTCAAGAGATGATAGTAAAGCAAGCCAAATAAAAGATATCAACAATAGAAATACTTACAATTCACTACACTCAAATAAAAATCAATTATCCACGATTGATCATCACAAAGAAAGGGTAACAAAGTCAATAAGCATAAAAGGTAGAATGAGAAATGGAGAGATCGATGTAAACATAAACAAGAAATGCTAGTGGATGAGTGGCATCTGTTCCATAGACAGAGATTTGGATCGAGGGAGATTGAGAAATCAGTAAACGCTCGATAGCGTGTTGTGTTTTCTCAAATCCGCGCCCCAGATCATGGCGCCATTGTGGCGCCACTGTAAGGCCCTGGCTAGAAAGGGCCTGACCGTGGCAGGCCACGCCGGGTGCAGGCCATGGCCACGGCCATGCCCTGGGCCACGAAAAAGGCGCCGGGTGTGAGCGTGAGCCGGCGTAAAGGATGATGAAAGGGAAGAGTGTGAGAAGGCAATTATGTGAGTTTTTGTCATTTGTGATTGGTCGGACTCGGAGTCGGTTTTTGAGGGTTCTTGGATTGGAGAACTTTCTTTGGAAAAGGCCAGGCGAAAGGGAATGCAAAAGTGAAGCCGTTTGCTTTGATTGATGAGCATATGAGCTGATTTCGGGCAGGAGGGGCCGAGGACTTGGGGAAGAGACTTGTTGCTTTTGTATCGATGGAGGGTACGATCAAGTTGTGGGTCTGCACTCTGCTGTACGCAGCTCACAACAGTCAGCTGTCAAACATATGTTATGTGTATCAGCTGCTTTATTAGGCTAAGTCTAATAACGGGTATGTATTAGTCATGGCCTCATCAAATGAGTTTGTTTCGTTGAGATCAACAATCACATCACTCTTCTCCACTTTTGCCTTGGCATCAACTTCATTTTTATCAATCTCAACTTCCTCTACTCATTAAAAGTTTCCCGACCGAACATCATACTATTGAAGAAACACAATTGATTGAACGCTAACCGTTCAAGTTCCGGACTCGAAACCTCATCCTTACTTCACATCTCTTTTGGTCAGACACAGGGACTACCACCACGACTTTTGGAAGAAACTAATTCATACATACCTAAGATGGAGTTTCCATTTTCGATTTATTCACTTACTTGGATCACGATTGCATCTGTTTTGATAAGCTTTGGTGATTTGAAAAAGTTATGAATGTTTGGACTTTTGGTCTGATTTTTTGACGAATTACAAATTTTTGTTACTCTGAACAGGTGTCTTGATCACTTATCGACGACATCATCTAATTAATTTACTACCATCAAGTCTCTTACAACACTTCCCATCCTATGCACCGTAAGTTTCTATGGTCTTATTATGAAGTTCGAATCGAATAAGAGACAACCCTTCATATTTATACTAATATTCTAATGTTTGTATAACTTTTGATGTTCTTCTAGAATACCTACGTTCGATGCGGCTCAATCATCAGGATACTCTTCTGCGAATTTTGATTTATCTGCTAACCTTTCAGATGAAGATCGTAGACAGTTAGATTTAGAAGAAGTTAGAAGGATCATGGCTGAACATCGTTGTAATTTTGATCAGGTCAGTGGAATTGATTTCTTTCATGATAAATTTTATTGAATTTCTCTTTTTTGATTTTTGGTTTTTGATGATTTTTGGGTTTTGATGGTAAATATGATCTAATAGGCAAGATTGATTCGACATAATCGATATTTAGCAAGGAATGGAGTAGATCCATTAACAGGTTTACCAACCGATCGAAAAGCCATTACTTCATTAGCTTAAAAACACACACACCCCTTTTTATTTGGCACAAGATCATGAATTTTCAATTATATCCTTACGTACATCATTCAAATGTTTTTGAATTTGTATTCTTTGTTTTTTTCAAAAAAAAATCATTCACCTTGTTTTAAAACTTCTCGCTTGATTTTTCTTTACACTTTTAGTTTTGTATGTATGTAAGATTTTGTATTCTTTAGTTTCTTAGTTGATATACAAAATTGACATTGATACATATATATCTTATTGAACTCATTGATTAGTAGTATTGATTCTTGAAGACAGTTGAAGTAGAATTCATTGTCCGTTTTTCTCCTTACTTTTTATGAACTGATGAGTTTAGTTATGAAGATTAACGGTTTTTTTAAAATACTGCTTTGCGGTTTCCAGACAATGGTAATCTGGACATAGGATTTGACCAGTTGGTTGGTGGAGCACTTTGGTTGAAGTGAATACCTTCCAAGAGGAACTTCTTTTCCGCTTGAAGGGAGTATATGCTATTATACTTTGGACTGAAGCTTTGTAACCTCCACTTCTAAGATGCTTTGTATGTTCATGAGTCATTCATGCAGGCTCATTTATCTCGAGTAGAAGAGCGGTTATCGAGTCATGTTTTGATCACTCTGGTTACTTCTCTCGCTTATCTGTGATTTGACTTGAATCAGTCATTATGTGGTGGATCTGATCTACTGATGAATTTCTTTGATCTCACTCAAGATCCCCTTGAACAAGCTTCATTTTTAATTTGCCAAGTTCCCCTTTGTTAGGAAAGTGCGGGCACGTTGATATGTATACTGCACGCCTTTATGTGACTCTACACTTAGATTCCAGTCATCAATTTGTGGACGCGTTCATTAATCTCACAATCTATCTATCAGGATCTAGTAGAACTCCTCATTTCCAACATTCTCACAAAGGAAAAAACCGATCATTCGAAGTTGTTAGACCAAGAAAGAATTGATGTGGATTATGTGAAAGGATCGAATGAGTTTCCTGAATTCGACCGATGAGACTTGATAGTGGGTTGATGATGAATTGGGAATTAGAATTAGTTAGTTGATGAAAGGAAAAGATAAAGAATACAAGATAGCCTTTGATTGATGCTGATGCTGATGATGATGAGTGGTTGTGATTTGAATGAATTCCTTTGATGATAGCAAGTTGAAGTAGTCATCAAGGTACCTGATCAAATCAACTCAACCACTGATTAGCTTTGATTAAATTATCATTCTGATTCTGATTCTGATTCTGGTACTTCACTTCATCTTCTCTTTCGGGATATATCACTCAAATCTATCTTTTGAAAAATTGTTTAGCTTTCTTGTAAAACTGATTAACGAGTCATTTTCAACATGGACAACTATTCAACTTCTCAAAAATATAATATCAAACATCCTCAAGTTCAACCAACTCAACTTCAATATCCAGATCCAATAAAAGTCTCTATCACTTCTCAATCTCCCATTAATATCATATCAAAAAAATCAAACATGATCCCAAGCAAAGATGACATAGCTGATCAACTCTCTGATCTTGCCAGCTTTTCACCCGATGAAGCTGATAGTATGATTCAAAGTGCAGCTGGAAGGTCTCCTTTACCTTCTCCACCTCCTCATTGCGCTTCATTTTCATCTTTACATCAACTTTCTCACAAACCTGAAGCTCGTCCTTCTACACCAGATCATGAACTTATTGATCAAACTGAATGGGATCATCTTTCATTTTCTACTCAATCTTCACCTGAAAAAAATTCATCACATCCTTCAAGTTCACCTAATGATTATGATTTAAATCATTCACCTCACCTTCTTTCATCATCAAATCAACCTAATTGTTTTTATCCATCTTGTTCACCTACTCCAAGTTACATCAATCTTGATTCAAACAAATCATCTGTTTCTAATTTGAAAACTTCAAATCATCATCTTAAGGAATGGCGAAAATCATTACCAGCGCCAGAAGTCGTACCACCAGAAGCTACGATATCTGAATTGTTAGGTGTAAGTACGAGAATAGAAAGACGTCTTTCGATTGAAGATGATAGACAGGTTCGTTAAATTTTTTCGTCATTGAATGAAATTTATCAATCGAACTGATTTTTTTTCTATCACTTTTGTCATACCATAGTCACTACAAAACGATCTGGATGAAAGCTCAGAACTTAGACCTCGTGATAGTTGCTCACAATCTACTACAGATTCGACTCCAGAACCCGATCCAAACTTATCAAAAGAACCACAGAATATGGCAACAGAAATCTTTGCTGGTGACCCTTCTTCACCTCCTACTTCATCAAATTCCGATGATCCACTGGATCCTTCGATGGATCTTTCAGCATCATACTTAATCCCAGAAATGCGGTCTGTTTCAGACGTGTCGAGGAATCAAACTGAGCTCGTATCTGATGATCCACATCTGATATCCCAAATTGAGGATGCATTAATACCTCAGGATCAATCAAAACCTATATCAGAACATGGCTCTCAAACACCTCTACCAGATTCTCAGGAGATTTCTAGAAGCTCAAAAGAACTCGAAAAGGAGGAAACACGCGATACTCAAACCGAACCTATTCCTGAAGGAATGTCTAGTAGCGATACGAAATCAGATCTACACAATCGGCTCACATACTCACATCTCGCTCTATTAGGAAGTATATCTTGCTCTGCCACTGCTATCATCTACGCACGGATGATGTCGAACGAAGGACAAGTTTCTGACGAAGTACAACAACCAAATCTGGAGGGACCAATAACTGATACCGATTCGCCTGATGTCGATATTCCAGATAATGCAGCTAGTGCAAATGTTTTACCAGATGTTAAAGACTCTGATCAACCTGCACAAATCGCTGAGACCGAAAAAGAATTGGTTGGACCAGAGTCAATGATTGATACATTACAAGATCCACCTCTGATTTCTGTTGTTCAAGACACGGTTCAGGAATCTAGTTCAGTTTCTATTGACTCAGAGATCGACTCCTTAAAGATTGAAGACTCCATAATAATACCTACACAAGAAATTGAGATGAAAGAAATCCTTCAAAGTGAAATATTGAATTCAAATCGAGAAAAACAAATTGATCCACCTTCTTCCTCTTCTTTAGTTTCTTATTTTACTAGTTCATATGGGATTTGGAGTTTTCTTATGATTTTATTATTATTTTGGAAAATTAAAACAAGTTCAAGTTCAAAGTACAAAGATTCTCAAAAACCAAAAAATCAAAACATATTAGTAAAAAAAGAAATCAATGAAATTGAACATAAACCAATAATTTTATCTGATTTACAAAAAGATCAAATCAAATTTAGTTTAAAAAAGATATTTGATATTTTAGATGGGAAGTATATACCTCAAGATAAAGAAACAGTCGTGATGATCTTAAAAAGTATTATTAGTTATTCTTGGATAGTCAGACCGTTTTATACAGAATTGATTAATCGTTTAATGTTTAAATCAAATCGAAATTCAAACAGATCTAAAGTTGATCGAGTAATCATGATGAAATTGATTAGATTATTAAAACAAAAGAAATTAATTCAAGAAGATCTTGATGGAAAAATGAATGATGAAGAAGATGAAGAAGAAGGAGATATGAAATGGAATTATGAACAACTCTTATTATTGGAAGCGATTCAAGAAATCGAAACCGAAACCGAAACCAAACCTGAAATAAAAGGAAAAGGAAAAGGAAGCACAAGCAAACCAAGAAGGAAATCTAAAAGTTCAGAAATTAAAATCAAAGCGGAAGAAGAAGAAGATCAAATCGAACCAGAAATCGTTTCTGAAACTGAAACAATCTTACCAACAAGCCAAGCTAAAACCAAAAAACTTAAATCAAACAAAAAGAGTTCCAAAAAGAATCAAGAAGAAATTAATCAAGACCAAATTGATAGTGGTCGTAGAAGATCAAGTGTTCGAATCAAATCTGAACCTATCGAAGAACCTAAACCTGATTTTACTCAAAACGTTATGATTAATAAGAAAACTAGTAGGAAAAGTCAAGCTGGGATCAATCATACAACCCCTACTGCTGTTGCTTCTGTTCCTGTAAGATCGAGTCCAAGGAATAAAAAATTGTGAAGTTGACTCTACAAAAATAAAATAGATTGTGGTGAAGTCTTGATTAAATTTGATTCTATTAGTTTTCATAAAGTTTATCCTTAGTTTTTGAATTTGGTTGATTTGATTTTTTCTTTTGTGTTTGTGTGTGAAATTGATCAAAGAAAGTTTAGTTTAATCATCATTTTCTTGGAAAAGTTTTTTGATTTTTAGTTTTGATAAACCTTTTTGATGATGAATGAAGTTTGGTATGACTTTTCAATAAAATGATGTATGTTTTCTTTTGTATTTGGTAGTTTTAAATTTGGAATTTATGTAGAATTTCTTTTAGTTAATTTGTTTTTTATCAACTTGAGAGAGAAAAAAGTAGTTCTTTTGGTTCTGGATATGGTTTTGGAACATCTTGTTTTTTTGGATCAGAGTGGATCATGTATGGTTCATGGTCTTGATTTTTCAAAAGATTGATTAAAGAAATAAAACAATGCAAGGGGAATAAACATTGATTTGTAGGTAATTTTCTTCAGAGGAATGTGAATGGCTGTGCAATTATCAGTGTCCTCAAAGGATACTTGAGTTTGGATCAAATTCTGGTTTCTAGTGAGGCTTATAACCAAGTGGAATTAACTCTACATTGACCAAAATTGAGTACATGAAAGAATCAAAGTGTGGTAGAAGTGAAAAGGGAGAGAGAGATCAAGGATTTCTTTTAGCTTCATTAGGTTTTGATGGGTTAATTGGGTACTCTATCAGTACTTTGTAGATGGTCAGCTTAGGTCAGCTTCACTCTGGGATTTGCACCGGCTTTAGAAAATGTGTTTATGTCCCAATATTGAGGATCTTGGGTGTATATCTGGAAATCAAAAACCCTGTTTGGTTGAATTTTTATAGCAGATCAAAACTTTTCATGAGCCTCACATTTCTTATGATTCTGTTTAGTTGTTGATTTGAATTAAATGCTAGAAGATGTCAGGAGTTTGAATGATTTAAACTTAACAATTTAGTGCTGTCAGATACGCTGCAATAACTTTTGGACAAAGATTAGGTTGACAGTTGCCTGCCTCAATGATGATGATTTGAGCACACTCAGAGTGGCAACAGTATCTCATGCCCAAGTGAAAGGTATTAGTATGATTTACGAAAGTAAAAACTAATTCATAGAAGTTTAGTAACAAAGTTGTAGTGGTTCAGAACTAGAGGAAACTTGGGACCAAAGATTTTCAAGATGTTGGAAAGAAATTTTAATGAATTTGAAATCCTTGTGAAGGTATCAAATCTCAAACCTTTTCTATTATTTGGGATATGACTTACAGATTTTTGAAGATACACAGTGGGTTCATCAATGGGGCAAGATCAGTGCTAAACTGTGGTATTTGAGATGTGAAATGTTATAGGTATCAAATGGAGATTAATAATGTGGTCAGCTTTGGAAGTTTGATATTTCAATCCATGCTACCTTTAGATAAAAAAGAACAGGTCTCTGACCTTGTTATTACTCTACAGCCTACACTACAGGTCAACTTTTTGACAGGCCTGCTGTCTGGTATGATAGGCAGTCTTCCTAGGTTCATGGTAGGTTGGTTGCACTTGGCTGAGGTTGACTTCAAAAAGGAGGATTTGATGGTTTGCATGATATGGAAGTAGTCTATGGCTTACAGTGGCTTTGAGATTGGGGATGTGTAGTCAGCTGAGCACTTTGAGATGTACTTTAGAAAATTTATTGATGCTAAACAACAATTTTTCACCCATAATCACATGGCAAATGAGTGAAATAGACCTAAACCTAACATGAGCACACCAACCCCAAAATCAACCCCAAAAGGCCTGCCTCAGGGGCAGGTCATTTGTGCCTGCCCATCATGTGATTCTAGGTGTTCTGCATCCAAACAATACCTGTGGTCTCTCCTGGCCATCAGCCCACATCACATCACCAACCTGTGGTTGACAGAGGTTGTAGGATTAGCAGGCTTGCAGGGCTGGATATCAATCAAGCAAAACAAGATGACAAAACTGACATCACTGTGACATATATGGAAAGAAATCTGCATATCAGAGGGATGTCAATTTAGTTTATATCACACCAAAATCATGATGGAAAAGACAGGAATCGCTGTTGGTAACTTGTTATTAACCAAGTGGAATGGGAAAGTTGGATTGTTACATGTCATGATTTGGACCGAAACTGACGGGTCGGATTATCAATCTTATTCTCATCCTGTAGGTATGATGTCATTCCTGTTTGACCACTCTTCACCAACTTCCCATTGCGTTCACTTTTGTCGAAGTTTCCTATCTTCAATCTCAAATTTCACCTTCTAATCGTTAAAACTCTTAGCAATTATCAAATCAAAGTTTTTTCAGCCCTCTCTACCACCCTTTAAAAAAAGGGTTAAGTGATTTTTGCACTCGACCTTTTGCACTGAATATGGAGTGTAAAAGCGGTCGAGTGTAAAAATTAACAAAGAGGGGTGTAATGTTGAATTTTACACTGAATATGTCCTGATTTCAAATGTGCAAAAAAGTCATGTGCAAAGTCACATGTGTAAATTTGTATCTCGCTGTGGCGGAATTACACTTTTGCACCTGATATTCTTACACTCCTCATCCAGTGCAAAAACATCACGTGTAAAAATCACTTTTGGGTGGGTAAATGCTAATTTTACATTCCAAGGACTTTACACAGAAAAAGGAGTGCAAGTGGCGGGAGTGCGAAATTTGCAAAATCCACCCCACAAGTGGAATTTTACACCGCACCAACTTAGCCAAAAAAAAAACAAAAAAAGGTGCAACTCAACAATATTTCTCATTTCACTTATACTTATACTTATACTTATGATGTCTCTCAATGTCTCACAGTCTCATAATTGCTCAGCCCAGGACAGATTCCACCACTTAATTGGCCACTGTGTATTTCATGAGGCCGCCATAGAATCACAACACACAATTCAAATAAAAGAAACAGAAGGAAGAAAGAAATTCTTGATGACTCCCGCGCTTACCTTCGCAATCATGATCATCTGGTTTATTTGTCTTGTATATATATTTCTTGTATAAATTTTTCTTGTATATATATTTTTCATGTATCAAAAAGAATGAAGACCCAAACCCGTTTAGACTTTTGGCACCTTTTCCTTCCTACCTTTTGGCTTTGCCTTAGCCTTGATGTCCACACTGGCACCTTGAGAATCCACAGGTGGTAAGACAGGCTCAAGTTGCTCGACTTTGACCGCTCCTTTCTTGCCGCTTGATTTCTTCCTAGTCGTCCTAGCTCCTTGCTTGAGAGGCGATGGGGACGGTGATTTCACAGGGCTAGAATCTGGAGCCGGTCGCTTGATACGGAGGCGCAGGGTGAGAGGATCAGGTTTGGCCTCTGAGGGTTGATGGGTGACCTCAACGGAATCCAGCATGTCCTCGCTGCTGGACGAATCGTATGCCGCATCAACAGGTTGGGCAATCTGATCAAGTTTATTTTCAAATATATCACCGTCCCCGTACGTATGATCATCATCATGTTGATGATCCAAGGCTGGAGGACCTGCCAAACACCGATCACCATTCGTCAATATGCGTGAAGGCGTGTTTATTTGCCAAAAGGTTACACTTACAAGTGGAAGAAAAAGCCGCCTTGGCCTGATTCCCACTTCGACCTTGTTTCTTGACATCATGGCCACCATGCTGACCAAGAACTGGAGGACCTGATACCCAATATGCAAAAGGATAAGGTAAGTGAGGGATTTTGGAAAGTTAATTCTTTACATGAACAAAAATTAACAGACACGTTGATGTGAAAGCTTGCTTGGACTTGTTATCAAAGTGGCCTTGTTTCAAATGATGGCCAGGGCCCTTGTCAGTTGAAGTAACTTCATACGAGGGCAAGTCTTCTTCAATTTGCTCCTCAACACCGGCCATGTCCAAGGCTGAAACAAAAGGGATATCACCTAGCGAGTCGGGGTTTTTTTGATGTATTTTGGCTACCCCACGGTCAATGGCCTTCTGTTCTTCAGACGTCGGTTTCCGAGAGTATACAAGCCAGCTAGTCGAACATTGAGCCCCGGAGATGAAGCTGAGTTCGCGACCAAGGAGTTGGCCTCGGCCATCGTCCTTGCGATCATCGTAATACCAAACGCCCATAACACCATCCACGTATCTGACCACCTTGCACCAGTAGTGGTTATAACCCCAAAACCCACGTGAGACGATTTGATAAACAGTTTGGCCAAAGGTGAGAGTTTCAGGCCATTGCATCTCCCCCATGAAACTATCACGAACGTCCTCGGCGAGAGCAGCCGCGTTGCCAAGGTGGAAGTAGAGATTCATCGGATTGGTAGTTAAGTCCAATACAGAGCGTTCATAAAGCTGAGGAATAACATCTGAAGATTCAGGAAACATATCACTGAGTTCTCTATCATCAGGAGAGTCAGGGCGGCCTGATGATAGCTGCTTGCGTGTGTTTCGGCAGGTAGGGCAGCACCGAGGGCTGGTCAAAAACATACCGTCGGTGTGCCAAAAAGATAAAAGTTGAGTGATATTGGAGTATTCCAGGCCGGCTTCATGGAAGAGGCCTGTGGTGATGGTAATAGAGATCTTGGTTGAAACTTTGCTTTCTTGATGAGCAGGGTGTTTGGTGGATTGGTAGTTCCGGAGGAGTTTATAAGTGAAATGACGTCCGATCGATGTTGGTGCATTGCGCTTAGTGAGCAGGATGTAATCCAAGAACAAGTCGGCCGAACAGAAAGCGTCTGTAACGAAAGATGTGGGTGAAATATGTTGGACAGCCGAATGTAAGGATTTGAGGCCTCGTGAGAGGACAGACTTCACGTGAGATGACTGATTCATTTCGGCAGAGGCCCTGGAGGAGAAGTGGCGAATCAGTTTGGACGCTATGTCCTTACCTTTGCCAGTCGAGCCCTCCATCCACAAGGGAGAGAATGTAGGATAGATACTTTCCAAAGTCGCTGTCTCCCAACACCTATTTTGCTTGCCTCGGTCGTTGCTCGCGGAATAGGATTGGTAAGAGGAGTGGCGATCACGGTTCACATTAGTAGATCCTGCAGGGCGCCCGAGCTTCTTAGGCCGAATGAGCGCATCGGTGGTATCGGGAGGCCGTCCATCATTAGCGTCAGGTTTGCGACGGGTTCGCTCCTTAGACCATCCTAAGGTTTCGACGATTGAGTCCCAGTTTCGCCCATACTTCACCGCGATGCCACTTCGAATTTGGGAGAAGTCACGCTTCAAAGACTCGGTAAATAGGAGTAGCTGTACGAATCCTTGAACGATAGTGCAGTGACCGGACCTGAGGAAGGGGAGCCATGGGAGTCCAGTCATCAAGGGTGCTTAACATAATAAAAAAAAAAACTGAGAAGAAAGTACTTACGTCAAAATGTAATACTGGCGATGCATAGATTCTTGACCATTCGTGGTGTCAGGAAGACTTGCTTCAAGAGGCTCCTCGCCGTCAATGGGTGGATCGTCCAATGGAAGGCGCTCGCGCGCCACAAATAGCATGCTGTGGATGTCCGACGTGTTCCACCAGTCAATCCAGGCCTTTGCTTTGGGGAACAACCGGGCTATCTGATCAAACTTTTGACGGAGTGTCATTCCTCCAGGCTTGTCGGGTTCAAGAAGGTCTAACGCGAGGCGTTCAAATAGTTCCTATCAAAGCACGCAAATTAGGATCAATGACATGGATTGGTAATGACATGGTGAAATGTCATTGGGAAATACGATAAACACTTACAAGTTTACTTGAATCCACGATGTTTCGATTTCTCTTGACGCGTGTAATTGATTGTCGATAATGTTCATGGCATCCTTTTAACTTGCTCAAAGCCTTCGATGGATCGGTTTCCTTGAAGACATTCATGTAAGCACTGATGAATCCCTTTTTCTGGGCTGCAGAAAAGTCCACGACTTGTTGAACTAAGAGATCGCGCTCGTGGTATGTAATGTCGGATTGGTAGATCTGTTGGAGGAGGGTAGTGAAATGGGCCTGGTAATGGCCTTCTTCAAGGCCCCACATCCAGGTGAGCTGCACCGGGATCCAGCAATGCATAATTTCGCTATACATAGAGGTAGTGAGGAGGTAACCGTGATTGAAAAAGCGATAAGTCACGTCAGATAGGAGACCGCCTGAATACATGCGGTTATCCTTATCCCGTCGAAAGAGTTGTTCGGCCATCCATTCGGATTGGAATGTGATGTGCACGTCGGTGCCGAGAAGAGATGTTGATATCAACCTCAAACCGTTTCTTCCAAACAAGTCCATTAGCATCATGTTTGGAATAGCTGAAAGAGCACAACTGTTTGAACTTACCTGCCCCAATGCAACAGATCCATAATGAGCCGGTCACCCCCTCCAAGACTCTCCTTTTCGGGCATCAGTCCCTTCTCGACTAAGACTTTTCGTCGTAAATATCCAAGGCGGCCTCCATTGCCAAAGGCAGGATGAATTTCCACCACAGGCGCAGTGACTGCCTGGCCAGCACTAGCCTGGCCAACCTGTCAAGAGATAAGAGAAGTTGAGTAAGTATTGAAAGTCGACAAACATCTTAAAAAGAACAACTCACCTTCAGCACCAAAGGTCCGGCCTTTGGGTTGCTAACTAACTGAGCCGTGAGGGCTCGCATAGCGAGAGGATCCGCTTTTTTGGATGACGGCCAGACATGGTTATGGATGCCGGAGTGACGAAGCACACCCCAGCCGGTGGCCTTCTCAATGTCAAAGCGGCAGTTAGATTCCGGGCATTGAGTCCAAATGTGGCTTCCATTACACTCGACCGCTGGACATACTGGTGACCTAGTAGAGGGGAATGAGAGCGAGGGAGGTGAGCCACAGATGAAGCATAAGCAGACAAGACAAGGGGAAACTCAAAAGCGGAAACGAAACACTTACTCAAGGATCAGTTCAGCTGCTTTGCCTTCGGCAGTCAGTGGCGGCGCTGCGTAATCACAGAATTTGTCGTCACAATGTAACACTCCGAGACACTTAAACCAGATAGTCTTCCACTTTGACTCTGCTTTTGATCCTTGAGACTTCTGAGTGTGCGGGTATGCAATGTAGCCGAAGTTGGTGATCTCGTCTCGGGGTCCTCTGACAAACACGGTGTTGCCATTTGGATAAATCGGGTATCCTTGACTGTCACACGTGGTCCCATGGTCGATGAACGTCTTCAAGTCGCCGGCAGCCGGAACAGGCGTCTTGAACTTCTTGCCGGTCTTCTTAGGTCGATTTCTTTTTTTCTTCTTCTTCTCACCGGGTGAAATGACGTTCGAGACAGAAACAGAAGTAGCTAGCACAGGGTCAGGCAAGGTGACGGTGGCCTGAGTTGGAACAACGTGAACAACGGGGGGCTGAGTGCGAGTTCGTGAAGGATCAGGGGTACTAGGAATTTCCAAGTTGCTGCTGGGTGGGTGTTCAGACATCATGAGCAAGATAAGTAAGTAAGAAGGTGATGGGTTCGATGAAAGAGATGTGTAGGAGTGGTTAAATTGAATGAAGTGATGGAACTGAAAGAATTGGTAAAGTTGGTAGAGCAGTAGTACGACAGACGACTCTCGATCGTAACATTCTCAAGACGACGTCGAAGGGGGCCTTGTAAGCGAAAATGAACTAAAGGTTTTGTGGAATCCATTGGGGCTATGAGGAGGTATACGCAGGAGAAAGAGTGCCATCGAATATCAAGAAGAGGTGTCAGGTGTCGACTCAAAAGTCGTTCTGAGAAGGGATGGTGTTGATGGTTTCGAAGTCGATGGGATCAAGGATGGAAGAGATCTAGCGCTTTTATCAAATCTGGGGTGGAGGGATGTGAGCTTCGTGGTCATCGAAAGGGTATATCGGTGTGGTTGGTGGTGGTGGAAAGGGTGACGATAGCGTTAGGGCATCAGGAAAGGGGGAAAAGCGTATCTAGGTATTAGTGTTTCCGGTCGGATCTAGTCGGATACTGCAGGGATAGTGTGTCAATCCGGTGCTGCGATGGCGTGCAAATTTGGAGTTTGCCGGGGATCATCTGAAAAATTACATACCAGGGCTTTACATCCAACTTTGGGTGTAAGGGGTTTTCAGAGTAAAATTAGAATTTGGGACCCTATGCAGATTTTTGCCTAGTAAGATTCTTGCCCTCAAAAACGTGTGTAAATTTTGCAGGGCAAAATTCAAAGTTGGGCACGTCAACATGTAAATTTACACATGTGACTTTGCACATGACTTTTTTGCACACTTGAAATCGGGACATATTCAGTGTAAAATTCGACATTACACCCCTCTTTGTTAATTTTTACACTCGACCAAATTTACACTCCATATTGAGTGCAAAAGGTCGAGTGCAAAAATCTATCGACCCTTAAAAAAAGATTGAATGTGGTAGTTATTTCTTTTTAAAAAAAAAAAAATGTGTTTCATCAAATATTAGTGCAGTTATTTTTCATTAGTTATCTTTTTACTTACATATTACATTATGGTTTCTTTAGTCTATCTCAAGATTTCATGTTAGTGTTTTAGTTGTGTTGTTGGTTGGTTTCAAGTTATGTTATGTTTCTTAAGTAGTTTTCAGTTCATGTATAGTTACATTATTTAGGACTCTAGCCACCCCGTAGGGCGTTTGTTAGTTCTCAAGTAATTAATATTCCCTTGGCTTAGGCCTTGGGCTTCGCACCACACATTGTTCTTTGGTATTGTATACCAATTTATTAGTAAGTTTTAACGATCCCATTTCAGAACATGCAAGATTGTAGGAAAGCGCAAGAAGATGTCACCCTTATTTTTTTCCATATCTTTCTGACCCATTTTGGCTTCCAGGAACTATTCAAAACTTATAAAGAAAGGTTTAATTTGGGTAATATCAAAGCCCAAGTAGTAGTCCTTTTGCAACACCACTCCTCCCTCAAGATTCAATTTTGAAAGGTTTCAAAAGGAGTTTTATGAGCAATACATCAAGGACAGACTCTTCATCTATATATTTTACAACCAATTGGAGACAGGGTATTTTTTTAACGGCCATTCAACAGATCCATCCCATATATTTGTAAGAAAAGACTCTTGCGTTGAAAAAAGTAGGCAACAGACCAAATTGAAACATTGGCCAGAACTTGCATAGTCTTGATGCCACCCCTAAAACCCTGGGAAGTTGTATGCTGAGAGAATGGGTATTCCAGTCTTTAAGAATCATTTTCCAGCTAGATGTCAAAAACCACAGTTAAAGGATTTAATCAGTAGAAATTTAGATCACCAAATGTAGTCATCACCAGTCAGTACAATTTTGACTCTGATTGTCTTGGCTGGAAGACCTCAAATGCAGAGAAGTAGATGACTACACTTAGGCCGCGTTCACTTAGCCGCAATTTTCAGAAATCACATTCTAGGACAGCACTTTTCTACATGTAGAAAAGTGTTTTTTTCGAAATCTGAAATTTGTGTTCTAAAAAAAAAGTGATGATAGGTAATTTGCTTGATTTGTCTCAGAAAGCGATTGATTGTGGGGGTTCAACTCGTTATCATCACTCCTCATCACTCCTCTCTTTGTTCATGTCATGTCATCCTTTCTCTGCTAGGTCCTTGAGCTTGTGTACATACCTAATCAATATTCTCCAGGGCTTATGAGGAGATAGAAAAGGAGGTATGCATGGTCGGTTCCAATATGAAAACAATCTCAATGTTTCTCAAGTGTGATATTCATATCACTTTTATACCTCACACTGAAGCAAGAGTTATCTGTGAGGTTGAAAATCTTTTCACAGTCAATGGGACTGTTCACAAAGCAACACTAAAAACCACGTTGATAAACAATTGCACTCGTTGATAACCGTTTTGATGTTTTTGAGTCATGGAATCACAAATGAAAAAAGTAGAAAGGGAACAAAAACTGAGATGAGATGAGAATCTCTCTCATTAGTGTTAAGTTCTATTTCTTTTATTCTACTGAATCAATATAGGGGATTAGAGATTGTGGTGTGATGTTGGTTGTATTAGGAGGGTGAGGTGATGGTTGATTACAATCGTTTTGTTGAGTGAGTGTCGTACGATGGATGGGGATTTGTCCAAATTTGTGGAGAAGGGTCTTCCAAAGGGGTGGCCAGATGGTCAAGAAATCACTTTCTATTGAGGAAAATGCGCTAATAGTGAATTCTTGAAAAGCGATGAAAAAATACTTTTTATGAGCATTCTGCAATTTACAGAACACTTGTAAATAAGAAATCAAACACCTTTCACAGAATGTGATTTCCCAACATTCAAGAAAGCACTTTTTCACAAAAAAGTGCTTAAGTGAACACGGCCTTAGGGCACATTCAATTAAGCAATTTCTGTTGAAAAATCACATTCTGCAAAATTCAAAGTGTCTATTTGGTGGTCCATGTTTCATTTTTGCATTGAAAAATTTATAGAATGTGATTTCTGGTCAGAAATTCCTCAAGTGAACATGCCCTTAGGGCGCGTTCACTTAAGCGCTTTTTCACGAAAAAGCGCTTTCTTGAATGTTGATAAATCGCATTCTGTGAAATGCGTTTGATTTCTTATTTACAAGCATTCTTGAAATCACAGAATGCTTGAAAAAAGTCTTTTTTTGGCACTTTTCAAGAATTCGATAATATCACATTTTTTGCTCTCGAAATCGCATTCTGCCTCAACTTTTCCCACCTATCATTTCATTTGTGAACTTATCCTGAAATCTCACAATGTACCTTCCACTGTACAGGACCCCTCAGATATTTCCCGAGTCCCCATTCATCGTACACAGCTCTCAAAATCCGTCATCCACCACTCTCCTCAAAAAACGTCTTCGATTCATCCTCACTTGATCTCATTCTCAACCCAAGTCACCTTTATACAAGCACAGGAACCTGATCTAATTTTCGTTTGGAAGTGAGGCAAATAGCCATTTGAGCTTTACTGTCATAAGATGATTTAGCTAAACACTGTTTCTCACTCAAACTGAGTTCCAGTTCAGTCTTTTTGATAGACGTCAAAGCATCTTTCTCGATCAATCAAACTTCAGCTGTGATTAGTCGAAGATAATGCTGGTACAAAGACCTGATTGAGTTCAATTCGAGAAAGGATTGAAAGAAAGGATTGAGCATCAACAATTTGCAAAAGTGAGGATGTATGATTGGTTTATGTAGTGGGATTTTTCAGATCGAAGGGTTTGTCTGGGGATCAACAAACAAAAAAATCGTCCTTAATTTCACCTTTAATCAAACGCTTCATGACCTCTTTTGTCATGAAACGTGAAATTTTGTTTTTTTACAAAAATCGCTTTTCTACATGTAGAAAAGCGGTCACCTAGAATGCGCTTTCTGGAAATCCGGCCTAAGTGAACGCGGCCTTAGGTACACAGGCAAAAAGAGATGATTTTCCCATGGGAAAGCCCATTATACACAGTTGATGAGTCAAGATGTATTATTTTGGTCTTATTTCTGGATTACCTCTGTGTTTAAGCTGAGAAACTGCATCAAATGCAGTCAGTCTACCCACAGGAAGATATCTCTCTGTTTCCTGTGTTATGTTACACTGGAAGTTTTTGAGCAATTTGTTGAATATCATCTTGTTTGAAGATTTTCGAGTTTCATTTAAATAATACATCATTACTTTCCCTTTACAAGTTCATGGACTTGAGCTTCTTAAGATCTGGTCTTCAGGTTTTGGGTATCCGGATTCCAAATTTCAGGTATCATCCATGATCAATCCAGATGATGATAATGAATCAAATTGAAGGTTGATTTAAAGAATTAGTTGATAAATCATTTTGAAGAGCTTGAACAGCTATTGGATGTAAAGATTGAGTTACATCACGAGCAAGATCAAGATAAGTTAAGAATTGATTTAAATCGATTTTAGAAAGATTGAAATCTAAATGAGACCTAAAATTCAGATGAGTGACCGAATCGATTGAAGTTAAATAAGATAAATCTAAATGAGCTAAAGCATTTTGAGATTCAATAAAAGTAGGATCAATTAATAATTCAAGATCAGATGAGATTGCAGCTGAGATACCGATGACTAAACCTAAGGTCGGTACACCTGCTGATCCTAATGCGATGGTAGCTGCTAAGATTGGATGAGTGATAGAGAGAGGTGAATGAGATTGTAAGACGGTGAGATGTAAGTCATAGAATTCAGTTGGATTGAGGAGTAGACTAGGTGCAAGTGATTGATGAAGTGCTTGAGATAGATTAGATTCTAACGTGGAGATTGATGAAGTAAATGAAGTTGAGAGTGAGAATGGAGTGAATTTGAAATGAATGTTGAGGTTGGATGATGAGGAATTTGCAGTTGTTCGTGGTTTAGGACCATAACTATCAACATTCAATCCGATCAAGATTAGTCAAAGATCAGTCAAATATTGATGGATGAATGGCTGCAAAAGACTTACACTGCACAAATCAGTTTACAATCAGTTGTTTCTAAATAACTACTTCCATTAGCTGAACTAACCACTTTAGTCTTCACATCTGAAGAAAAAGAATCAAATCAGATTTTAAGATCGAAAAGAGACAATGAGGAATTGAAGACTAACGAATTGGACGGAATTGTTGATTTGTTCTACCATCCGATCTAGTGTTGTCTTGTTTGTTGTCTTGTTTGATTGGTTCAGTTGAGATAAAGGTAGGAAGTGGAGTAGATGAATCTGGTCCGACCAATTTACGACGATCGAATGTAGTTTGAGTTTGATGTTGAAGTGTGAATCGGGTTTGATTGGTCATCGTATCCTTCTGACTGTTTTCTTGGGAGATTTTTGAGTGAAACCAATAAAAAGAAAAGTTGAGGTGAAAAGTTGAGACCGACTCGTTTGAGCTTTCTGGAGTGACGCGGTACATGTACCGTGCTCAGAGGGAGGTACTACGGAAGCCCTGAGCGTGGGGTCCGCCAACCCTCTTAAACACATACATACAACTCAAGCTGTGGGCGCGTGTTTTGAAAAGTCAGGCGCACCTGTGCGCCTGTTTTCACCAAAAAAATTTGCCTCGCACCCGTGTGCGGCGGTGCTACGCACCCTTGTCTCGATTCGCTTTGTTTTAGATAAAAGCAGCGGAAAACATATATTTCATCATATAAATCTTTTACATTTATATGGAGAAAACTTGGATTAGACAGGATAAGTTGAAATGTTGTAGGAAATCATTTGAAGAGATCATCGGCACTCCAGGCCACTCCAGGACTGTCTGGAACATCCATAACATGCGACTCTTGAGCCAGACTAGATGAACAACTTTTCTCAAATACTCGGAAATCAAAGATAGAAGTGATGAATCCAGTTTCGTCTACATAAAGACTGGGATCGATAGGGTCCAGATGAGCGAATACACCTTCTTCAAAATATTCCAATTCTTCGGCCAGGCCCAATTCTTGCTCAGCGAGAGCTTCTTCAGTATCGAGATCGCTTTTCAAAGCTTGTTTTTTGTTCTGAGAGGTGTATCTTTTGTTAGGATCCTGTGATAAGAGATGCATCCGGACCTGTGAAGACATTTTTAGAGTGTTGGTCTTCATGCTACTACGGCGCTTCGTTTTCGTGGCCCCCATATCCGAAAAAAGACTTTCAACACCAGCTGCATGTGGAACTACTTGGAGAACAGAAATCGCGAGTCTCTTGAGAGGGCTTTGATTGGCTGAAACCGGTAGACTGAGCCAATAAGTAAGGGGCTGAGAGCCTAGATCGACTCAAGCAAATGTCAGATGAGTCATGTAGGTATAGAGGTCTCAAGAAACTATAAAGGGACTTACTATTAGTGTCCGACTGAAATGGCGACTGAGAGTTATAGAACCTAATAACTTCATCCTTTATTGTGTAACCTTCCCTTGCAGAGAATCCCCATCGATTAGCAAGGTTACATATCATCCAATTCATCTTGCAAAGGTCAAACCGGCGAGATACAGCAGTAGTCCGAAACGAGGGATTCAAAAAGAAGGCTATAAAGTAGATGTCTTCATTGAAGACTTTGCTTCGCAGGTGTAGGACACTTTCGGAATATCTTTTGAATGGAAGATATCGACTGTAGACGTCGATCTTTGATAGAGCACAATAGACGTGCAGAACTTCTTTCCAGATGTCGGCAAGAGTTGTGTTGGCATGTTCCAATCGACCGATGGCATCAACCACTGATCTTAAAACAATTATGAGAGCTTGGTTTCCCGTGAAATGGTCGCGATCAGAGATTATTGATTGGACATTTGCATTGATTTTGGGTGAATCAAACAAAGGGTCATCATCGGCTTTGATTGCTTTCTTGAACCCACCCTCATGTTCGGATACACTGATGCAGACTTTTGCCATCGAATACCAGCGAGTCTCGCATGCAGTCATGAGACCATGTCCAATTTTGTTTTCTTTTCGCCAATCTTCAAGGAAGTCGGACCAAAAATGTGATTTTGTAAAGAAATTGACCAAGTTTTTGTTTGCTGAGACGACGTCGGTCATTGTTGGATGTGACAGTATATCTTTGGCAATAAGGTTGAATACGTGTAAACAACAATTGATTCCAATGACATGTGGATGCTGTAATGTGATGTTTTTCTAAAGAAGACAATCAGTACCTATAAACGCTATAAGA